TCTAAACCTTTTCAAATAGTTTAGAGGCATATTTGACCCTTTTCCCTAAATAAAATAAAAACGTTTCACATGACATGCTACCTTAATTGTAAGAACTCCTATAAAAATGTACAAAAACATAAGTATCTCTATTACCCCCAAAATTCCGTTTTTCTCTCTCCACTTATGCAGTTTCACCTCCATTTTTTTTCAAAGAAAAATAAATCTAAAAGCTAAATTATATTTTTTTTCACAAAATTCAACTTTTTTTTTCCTTTCATTTTCTTCTTCCTCTTCCTGTTTTTTTTAGCAGGGGAGAAGAAAGAATTTGATTGGAAATTTCTCTATGTAAATATTGTTCAGAGTTAATTATGTTAATGGAAATCTTATCTTAAGCTTTTTTCTTTGCATATTATAACAGGAGTTCTTGATTATTTTTGCTTTTGACAAGAATTCCATTTTATCTTCCCATGGAAGGTTCACAGCTTCAACTTATTGTAATTTATTTGCTTTTATAGGTGTAAAGATTGAATCTTTATAACATAAAAATATTTGTATACCCTTTATTTGATTTTAAAAAAATGGGATTACAAGGCAGTCAATCGAAAAATCACCAACAACGTGAAAGTTCATGTAGTTGATAGTCAATCAATTGTGCTACTAAGATTTCATTTTGCTTGTTGGGTATATTTTTGTTTTTTCGATTTTCCACGTGGTTGTCGTAGGATTAAGGTATGCGAGCACTCTACCTTTCCACTTGGTAGGATTACATGGGTATGTTGTTGTTGTTAGATATTCCACCTGGTGTCTGGTATCGGCATTGAAGCAAGCAGGGGCGGACCCATATGGAGTCAACTGGGTGCTCGAGCACCATTAACCTTGTTTCGGGATATATATATATTTATTTAGAGATTAAGAAGTATCTGTATAAAATTAACAAAGAGCACTTAATGAACAAATGATTTGCCTGGTCCATTGGCTCTTGGGTGGGTGCTTAAGGCTCTTTTAGTGTTGTTGAGCCTGAGTTCGAACAATTAAAAAGTGTTCCCTAATAAAATGACTTCATACTTAGAGCTCGAAACCTAGACATCTGCGTAACTATGAAGGAGTACTTACTATTGCATTAGAATCCTTGTTGGTCTGATTGGTTATATGAATGTTGTTGTATATTAATGATTTGAATAGTGATGTCACAATAAAGGTTGAATCTTTATAAGAATACAAATTTGTTTATGTTTCATTTTGCTAATTGGGTATATGAATGTTCTCTTATATTAATGGTTTAAATAGTTGTGTTACAATAAAGCTTGAATATTTTTAAGATAAAGATTGTGTATATATACTTCATTTTGCTTGTTAAGTATATGAATGCTATGGTATCTTAATGGTTTTACTCGTATTATCACAATAACAATGCCTCAATTCCAAACAAGTTATTCGTAGTGCAGGTCCCAAGTAGAGATAAAGGAGGAAGGTTATGGTATAACTAGCAATTTCATGATGAATCCTAACAAAACAATCCGTATAAAATCGTTGTCTTTTTGTTAAAAAATATGTTGATTGTCCATGTATAAGGTAACCCTTCTCCTTTATTCGGGCTTAAAGACTGATAAAACTTTTTCGCTTATGAACTTTGTAGGTAGAAGAGGTGCAGCTGATGTCCAAGGAAACGGAGAAAACAAGAAACAACATGAAGTCAAGAAGGAACAGGACGAGAAAAAAGAGGAAGATATCAGCAACAACAACAGTAGAGACGATCAGTACTCATCATCGTCATCACCAAGAGGAGTTTTAGAGACTACCAGATTGGGTTCGTCGGATTTAGACAATAGCAGCATTAGCAGCAGTGATGATAGGAGCAGCAGTTTTGCATCATCACCTTCAGGGGAATTAAATCAAGGTGTTTATTGGAAAAATATTTTTGATCAAATAAAAAGAAGGTCAATGAGAAGATTGTCAAGTATACCAATATTAGGATATGAGATGATTTTACCAAAAAATATAAGAAGGATTTTGTCCAAGAATAGAAGTGCTGAAGAAGAGGCTAATGATTCTGATGATATTCCTAAGCCTTCTTGGAGGAATTTTAGCTATGGGGAACTTGTTGAAGCAACCGATAATTTCAGTCCAGGTACATACATCCATACTTCATAATTTTTTACGAGTTTAAGTGATATGCATTGATGGTGTAAAGAATATTTATGCATTTAAGTTCCTTTATAAGGTAGTTTAGGTAACTTTATATTGTTAAGTATAAATAACTTGCATCAAATTTTCACATCTCTACGGGGTATTTTCTTCCCGTCACAATTTATGTATCTTCATTTGATTTGACACAAAGTTTAAGAATATGAAGAGGTGATTCTATTCTATATTGCTCGGATTTATCAAAAATTCCGTTGGGTGTTTCTAGGATCCTCCAAAAAATTTCTGCATTTTTTGGGAGGATTGGACATGGGTACGACAGAATTTTTGGAGCGTCCGAGTAACATAGTTCCCATCTGTTATTTTTGATGTCAAAGTCATGTCTCAAAGTAGGACCATTTTGTACTAAATGAAATAATATACTCTGCTATATAGTTCTGATTAATTTAACTACAAAATGCTAGACAAAAAGACATATATTGAAGTACTTTGCAGATATTAAGGCTCATGCTGAGTGGTGGAGCCGGGATTTTCAATAAGGGGGTTCAAAATTTGTAGAAATAGATACACGGAGGCTCATGCTGAGTGGCTCTGCCCCTGCTTATGCCTGCTTAAGATTTCACTAGAGTTCCCTTTATGTTGGGTGCCTGAGGTCACAGTGGCGGAGCCTTGGTTTTCATTAAGAGGGTTCAAAATATGAAAATGTGAACACACGAAGAAGCCAAAGGACTTTCAAGATCTACTATGTGTATATATATATATATATATATATATATATATATATATATATATA